TTAGTGCTTCCTGATTTTGTGTGTCCTGGGCCTTCCTGGACGGCATTCTTTCCCGGCGTTTTTCTGGGGCTGATGGATCTTCCTGGGTTGCTGGACTGGGGTTGCGTTCAGGGGTTGTCGGGGCCATCGGGGTTCCGGGTTCCACGACGGTTTGCCGTAGCGACCGCTAAGAAGCGGGAGCTAAGAGAGAGTATGACAGTAATGAGGTTAAGAGTAAGTCCGAGATGAAAAAGCCTTCTTCCTGCTCTGGTCCTCTCATACAGTCGCTCCCCTTTCTCCTCTCATACACACACACAATTTATTAACGCCCGGCGGCTGAGCCGAAAGGGCTACTAGCACTAATCTACTACTACACTTCCTACGGTGGTCTTGGCCTCATCCAGCCCTTACATCAGCATTGTTCCACTTCCTCCAGTGAGTTCTACTCTCATTCAAGCCCATACAGAATTCCCTTAATGGTTTGTACTTCATTTTACCAATTTTCTTCGGTTGCTCGTGGGTTAGTAATGTTGATTACAAACTGGCTCAGAGTGCATTCTCTAAGTGTTCAGCTTCCTATCTTCAGTGGCTGAAGCGCTGTCTGTTCTTTATAACACGAGGTAATTAGTAGGTTAGGTCAGTGTGATAGGTGAGGTGTATTAGGTTATTTACTATCAGTTTACATCAAGTCGTCCTGTAGCTATTGCGAACCGTATCGTTGCTCGGACCGCGTCCACGTTTAGAGTCCATTTTTCGTCATCTGTTAGGGCTTTTCCGCCTAGGTAAAAGGACATATTCCCTCTACCTGTGTCTGTGCATTATAGCATCTCCGTTCAATGTGCTGTCTACCTTCTATATTGGAAGAGAAAGTAATCTACTATCTCTCGCGCCTGTCTATACTCGCATTAATCTGTTAATAAAGCTCTGATCTGGTGGAGATATGTGTTTAGCCTTACTATACCTGTTCTAAGTTAGGCGAGTACGCTGGCTTCTTTCTGTAACAGTCAGTCATAGAGTTATCGCATGTGCTTTCCCGGTAGTGCTGTATCAATTGTTTTAGAATATTTCCCGACATTTTCTGGCAACTTCTTGGCGGTGCCGTGCTTTCGTGTGATGTTAAGTGTTGTTAATTGTATTCTGGGAAGCTGTATCTGTGGCGTGGCGCCTAGTCTTGTTACTGTCTTTACCTTCTGCTTAGCGACCTTCATGAGTTCGCATTCTTCGCTTGATAGGAGCCATAGGATTATTATCATGTTTCCGTCTCTCTTTAATGCTCTAATAGATCTGTAGATTTGGCTAATATACTCTTGTCCAGACTATTGGTAAGGTCTTCTTAGTGTGAGTATGGCGGCTTTGTTTCTTGTTATTAGTATAATATTACGGAACCTAAGCTTTGATAGTACGCTTAAAGCTTTCGCTATTGCTGCTAATTCTCCAGAGTATAGGTTTTATTCCTCTCTCTTACCTAGTGTAGTAAAGAAGGACGGGATCTTGTTATTTTGGATTTTAATTATTCTGCCTATTTTTACTATGCTGTTCCGTGATGAGCTGCTCATAGTAATGCGTACTACCTAGTTTACGTTAAGTTTTAGTACTAAGTTATTAGTAACCATCTACGCTCTTTTCTCCTATGGTACTAATATGTATAGGTTAATAGTTTTTAACTCTTTTATTATTATGATCTTGAGTACTTCTGCCACTTGGTAGAGCAGTAAGCAATATTATCTTCTAAATTTTCGTATTTAGGATGTGTTCCTTTAAAGAGGATTGGTTTCAAATAGCATGTGAATATCTATCCATAGCTTAATTACCTATCTCCAGAACTGTTCTTACGCGCTGGTGATGTAAGTCTCTGCTTCTATTATACTTATTATTACCGTAAGAAAAGTCCCTATAATAGCTTGTGCTTCTATTCTTTGAATTTTATTAATAGGCCTTATAAGTTTGTCTTTAAAGGTATGTATTTAGACGCTAGAGGCGTAGTCTATTTTTAGAGTAACTATTAATATAAATAGCTGCCGTACTGTTATGGGTAATAGACCTTTAAGTTATCTAAGCTCTATTACTACTTCCAGGCCTTTAGCGGCTGCTCTTATAATATGCTTTTAGTATTTCAGCTTAGCGTCTATAAGTACTCTAAGTATCTTAACTTAGTCTTTAAATAGTATAGTTTATTTCTTAATAGTAAAGAATTCCGTAGCACTCTTATATAATTTGCGGGTAAAATATATAATTATTATTTTTTCTATCTTAAATATTACTCCGCTTCTTCTCTCCTAGTCTAGGGCATTATTAATAATGGCTTTAATACTATCTTAGTTACTTTACGTTATAGACTTTATAATCTATATTATAAAGTTATTAATAAATACTATTACTCCTTTATAGCTGTTGATTCAACGTTGTACTAGATCAGCATTAAAGAAGAGAAATAAGATTAAAGATAGTAGAAAGCCTTAAGGTAGACCTACTTATAATAAACTTCAGACCTTAAAGAACTTCCTATTAATAAGAATTATTATAATATGTTTTGAGTAGAAAGTCTTTATCTACTGAAGTAATTACTCTAGTATATCTCACACCTTTATTCTCTATAATAGTTTTTCTTTATATACTTTATTATAAGCTCTCTTAATATTAAAGTTAATTAGACTAATAATTTATTAGCTCCGCCACGCGGTATATATCTGCTCTTATAGGAGTATAAGTACTTATTTAACTAATCATTATTTACAGGCTCTAAAGTAGTTAGTAGAAAAGAGACTATAAATTTCCACTATATATAAGATTCTCTCTATAACTACTAATTCTAGTACTTTTTTAAGTATTACTAGAAGTAAGATTAGTCTCTACGCTCTTACAATTATATAGTTTTCTTTACTAAGTTTCTTAAAAGGAATAATCTTAGTGTGCTGTTACTAGCTAAGTAGTATATTTTCTTCTAGTAACTTTTAAAATAATATTAAGACATAGTGTTTTACTACTAGCTAGGTTTGTTTTTAGATTATAACAGGTAAACCATTATCTCTAAAAGTCTTTTATAACTTTATAGTAAATAGCTATTTTTTCACTTCCTTTATTATAATAGTAGGTATCTTTACGGAAGGTCTTTACAGCTTAGGCCCTTTATTATTAATATTATTAGAAAGTAGAGGAAAGAATATAGCTAGTAGTTTTTCTACTTATTTCTTATAATTAGCTATAGTTATCTTGTTAGCTTTATTAAATTATAGGACTTTCCCAAACGCCTTATTATCACCCTTTAGGTATTTAGTAGTCTTCTAGATGTTATCATTATCCATTAGGAACTTATTCTAGTGCTTTTTCTTTTATTACTAAATAGCATTATAATACTACTTTAATGCTTCTTTTATTATTTTTTTTAGGTTAGATTTAGTATATCCTGTTTACCTCTCAGTTCAGGCATAGTTTCTCTAATAGGTATAGATATAATGTAATTATGTTAAGTTTTAGGTCTATTATTTCTTTATATATAGTAACAGCTTAGCTCTAGGTATTAGAGCATAGACTATCTTTAAAACTACTACTATTAGTCTATCTATCTTTTATTATACTATACCCTCTATTAGGGTAACATTAAGTAACCTAGTAATCTTAGTATTAATTTCTTTTTAGAGCGTGTTTTTAAGCAGAAGCTGCTCCTACTACTTTAGTATTAAAACAAAGATATTAAAAACTATTTTAATTATTTAATAATTTAAGCTATATTTTGTTTTATGTATTATGTATTTAAGCACTATATCCGCTAGTTCTTTTAATACTAGAACTAAGTTAATAGTTATTTTATAGCTCTTGCTATGCTATGTTTTCGTGTCTTATAAAAGCAAGCTACAGAGTATAAATTTAGTTATTAAATTAATAATTAGATTTACTTTACTTTGTTTCTCTAATACCACATTTTCTTCTCTCTATAGCTAGTTATGTTAGTTAAAGTCTTTAGCTAGTACTATGTCTATTACTATGCTAGTGTTTTACCTAATATTATAAATAACTTTATATAAATTATTATATAATTCTTATAATACTTATAGATCTCCTCTGGGTACGTAGACTAATATAATTAGGACCTAACACTTATAAAGCCAAATAATCACTACTATTATATTTAGAGACTTTATTTATACTTACTTTATTTCTACTTCTTTATTTATTTAGAGCATGCTCTGAATTAGCTATCTCTCTTCTCACCAGATTAATAGAACTATCTTAGTCTATTTATAATACTGTATTAGGGTTGTTAGGAGCCGGCCTTAGATTCTCTGCGTATATAGTTCTTAAATTACTAATACTATCATATCTTATATCTCTTTATTATTTATTAGACTATTATATATCTCGCCTTGTTTTCTCATATTTAGCTAGATCATGCTAAATGTTTTACTTATTTTGAGGTAAGTAAAGCTTCTAGTAGTTTCTACTAAATAATTTATAAAGTCCTCCACACGGAATGTATCTTAACATTGCTTTATTATAGTTCCTGTGATAGTAGGCTTCTTTAGTGCATCTCGCACACTTCTATATATTCTTACATTAATAGGCCTTATGGCTAATCTCTTGGCAGTTGTAGTATTATTTTAGTCATGGTTAGTATTTAAATGCGCTAGTTATACTAGATTCTTCTCTAGCATAAAAGAAGCCCTCTGTGATAAGTCTTCTTATATTACTACTCTTAGTTAAGTATATTACCATTAATCTGTAGGCTTTTGGGATGTCCTTCTTACTTAGCTACGTGATCTTAGCGACTATTGTCTTATTTTCCTTACTAAAGGTCTCTACTACTCCTATTCTGATCTCATCGTTTTCATCTAGCACTACTGTTTTCTTGATATTATTAACCTTAATTAGGTAGAGCTTGTCGCGCAGTATGTGGGTGCCTATCCTAATCTTTTCTACCGCTCTCTTGACCAGTTAGTGCTCAGCTTCATTTCGACATGCGATTCTGATTCGATTTTGGTTCCTTTAGTCAACAGTCACTACACGGCATCGCCAATTTTCATGGTTCTCTATTATATAGATCTCTTTCTTAACTGCCGCTCTAACCGTGCCTGCTAACGCCCTATCATCTTTACCTCCCGCTCTTAAGATGTTAATCGTGCAGTAGAGTATGTCAGAGAGGGAGAACCCAGCTTCCTTAAGGCGTTTATAGCTTGCTGATGTTCTAGGGGTAGTATTTAATCCTATAGGTTCGTCTGCCGCCGCTACTAAAGCCTAGCTATGCATGCCAGGGGTTCCTGCTGAGAGGTCGCCGACACGCGTTTTGAGCTCAGTAATCTCATCAATAAGGTTAATATTGTAGTCTATAAGAATTTACTGTTTTTGTCTGACCTCTCTGATTTCGCGTCCTAATTTAGTGATGGTTTCGTTTTACTGTTAGATAATTCCCGTCAGGGCGGCGAGTAGGTCTTTATTCGTGATATTCTTCTTTATCAGCAGGGTGGGCTGGCTGCTTTCGATCTGGATGCATTCAAGTTCATCTAAGGACGAGTCTAGCCGTTCCTGTGATTTTCGATCCTGTGCGCTCTTCTCGGTGAGCTTTCTTGCGCAGTCCTTCCCTAGTGCTGCCGGTTCGATTGGGAATGGTGTTGTACTAGGGTTACGTTCAGGGGTTGAGATGGCCATTGGCGCGCCGGGTACCACCGCGGTGGGTCCTTGGGACCGCTGCAACGCGGTAAACGATCGACTAAGTGTACACAATAAAAATAAAAGAATGTCCGACGAAAATTTCCTTTTCAATCGATGAAAAGGAAGATGATGTCTCCGCTCGGAAGTAATCTCCTCTCATACAGTCGCTTGCAAAACCGGCTTCCCCTCTGAGCACGCTGGAAAAAGTCATCCCCTTGTTGCAAGCGAGTCTTGGCATACTTCTAACTGATAGCGGTTAGCTTCATGCAGGGTTCCCGGAATAGAGCTTCTGTAGACTTTTACTCGTTCAGCACAGCCAAAGTCAACTAGTCCGACGGTCACGTGCAGGAGCAGTTCAGAGTTCTTGGCAAGAACTTCAACCACACTCTGGCATCAAAAGTAGAGATTTTGTTAGCGAATTTCAACCTTTTTATGCAGCAACATGCCTCATGTTCATCAAATTAATTTACCTACGCGTGCAGCTATTGTTACTCTTCGCTGTGAAGGCTACGGATGGACAGAAATCTCAGAGAAGCTGGCCAACTGTTCACCCGATGGTGTACGCCTCTTCTTCAATCGAACTGTCGAGCGCGCTCAATTAGATCCTACCAACCTCAGTCTGCCTCTCCTTCTTGAACACCTTGAAGATTCGACCAATCGACGACACCCTGAACGCTTCCCCGAAGGCTCTGCGGTGCAGGAGGCCCTTGAGCGGACGGCAACTCAAGACGCTAAGCATGAAGATATGCCTTAGAGAAAGGTTATACATATTGTTAAGGATCAAGAGCACGCGAGGATACCTTATTCTACTAGTTTTAACGTGCTGAAGGAGTCAGAGATTGTGAAGCGAGTGCCACCACAGAAGCTCGAGCTTGACGAGGCCCATCGGCAGTACAGAGTTGTCTTCTGTGAGTGGGCGTTGGACAAGCTTCAGATTGGAGCAATCTTCATCTTTTCTGATGAGATGTCTGTTGAAAACAATCACCATCGGAAACGGCAGAAGGTCTCTATGAAGAAAGGAGATAACGTTTTTAAACACTTAAGGCCGCCTGCCAACACCTTCCACCAGGTTATGTTTTTGGGGGCAATCTGTGAAGGATTTGCCCCAGGCCCCTTCCACATATGGGAGTCAGAAACTAAAGATAAACGGAGAGCGCTTGAACAAATTATGAAGGATAATAATGAGCGACATGCAGGCGTTCAAACAATGCAGAGAGAGTTGGCTAGAGTACCTAGCACGTACGAACACGGCGTGCTCAGAGAGATAGACGCTAACAATCAACGCCTCGATCGTACAGATCCTCTACCTTCTGGCCGACGTCGTGCCAAACGCCGACCTAACTGGGAGTTCAAATATGAGAAAGAGACTCGTGGCGAGCGAAGCAAAGGCGGAATAGATTGGATACGTTATCAAGAGACTATTCTCTATCCAAAGCTATATCCTTGGGCGAAGGAGATTCACGAAGCTACTGGCCGGCCAGTATATATTATTGAAGACAACGCGCCGTCGCATATCAAGGCTAAACGGCTAGCTGTCGAGGAGAGGCAGAAATACCCAGGTGTCTATGTGGTTGATTGGCCAGCTCTATTGCCAGATCTTAACAAGAGAGAGGATCTGGGAGCCTCTAAAGGATGATGTTGAAGCTTTAAGAGTTACAGCTCACGTCAACTCTCTGGCTAGAGAGGCTATCAAGGAGAAGCTTCGCACTTGCTGGAACAGCCTTGATCAGGCCCTTGTTGACAGGGAATGCCGGGACTTCAAGAAAAAGCTTCACCAATGCATACACAGCCGTGGGAACAATGATTTCTATGGCTAATTGTACTATAATACTTTAATCTACGTCTAAAATGAGCCTATACAACATCTGACTCCTCATGGTGTTGAAGTTTTGCCATCTCTCGGAGACTTACTGGTTAGGTGGCAAATTATGTGGGGCGCATGTGACCGTTGGACTACCTGGGCGCATGAGTTAGGAAACGGCTCTACAATGCTTGGCATAGATGTTTCATTACCTTCGATTTATTCTTGTCCGTTTTCTTGGCAGGGCTCGCACCCAATCAGGACTATTCTAGCGTTTAGCTAACAGCCCTGCCAATGAACGGAAGCTAAAGCACGTGCCGTCGCATTACAGTACATGTAGGACGCGGGGCAGCCTCCTTGGCGCGGCGACAGGCCGAAACCTTCAGCCTTGTCAGTCCTCAGCTGGCCGGCTTCAGCTGGCTGGCGAGTGCTGATAAAACCGATGCCGAGACAGCCTTCTTATCGCACCTAATTCCGCAGGAACGACGGTGGCCGCGGATCGAGCTATGGAGCAGGCCACATCTACCAAGCACGGCGGCGAGCCAATCCCTCTCGATAGCACAGGACTCTGCCTGCTGTCTCTCGATGGCGGCGGCGTGCGGGGGCTCTCGACGCTTTACATCTTGAAAGGCATCATGGACCGGCTGAACCACGAACGAAAACCCCTTCCTCCGGTGAAACCATGTGGAGTATTTGATCTCATCGGAGGCACGAGTACTGGTGGGTAAGTAGACCTGTCCTCTAGCGAACGTAATCTAACGTGACTGCTAGTCTGGTTGCGATCATGCTTGGCCGGCTCGAAATGGATGTGGATGAGTGCATTACCGCATACAAGGATCTCGTGGCAGCCGTCTTCGGCGAGAAACGTGGCTTCGTTCCTTTCAGCATAATGGGTGAAGTCAAGCCGCGGTTCGACTCGGCAAAACTGGAGAGTGCGATCCGAAAGGTGGTGGTGCAGAGAGGTATATCCGAGACCGATATGCTCAATGAAGGGACTGAGCGTGGATGCAGAACGTGAGTGTTCTACCAATGCGAGAAGATTTAGATCTAACTAGATCAGTTTCGTTTGTACTGTTGACCGCGACACAAAGAACATCGTCCGTCTCCGAAGCTACAGCCTACCTGACGAGCCGGATATCCGCGCGACGATATGCCAGGCTGCCCTCGCGACATCTGCCGCCACGACCTTCTTCGACCCCGTAAGCATCGGAGATCGCTCGTTTGCCGATGGTGGCCTGGGCGCAAACAATCCAGTAGACGAAGTGGAGGGAGAGGCTTCGAACATCTGGTGTTCGGAAACCGGAGATTTGAAGCCTTTGGTCAAGTGTTTAATCTCGATTGGGACAGGCAATGCTGGTAGGAAGGCCTTTGAAGACAGCATAATCGGGTTCCTCAGCAAGACCGTTGTAGAGATCATAACCGGGACAGATAATACGGAGGTGAAGTCCATGGCGAGGTTTGCTGGACATTACGACCAAAAACGGTATTTCCGGTTCAATGTCGAGCAAGGGTTACAAGATATCGGCCTGGAAGAGTACAAGAAGAAGGGCGCTATTGAAGCGGCTACGGAAGGGTATTTGATTCACCCGGCGCAGAAGTTCCAGGTGCGATGCTGCATTCAGAACTTGAGACTTAAGCAGAGTGTGTACATCCCAAACTTTGCATAGATACAATAAATATCGAGCTGATGCTTGATAGGTACGGCAGCGACCAATCTCTCACACCTCATTACTGTAAGGGATATGACTTTATACGAGATTCACATTGACGTCACATAGGAGTACAACGTGCAGCGCATAATAGAGCGCCGCAATGGTATGGCCCTCTTCGCTTTCTAAACTGCGAAAACTAAATGTTGTGTAGCATTACGAACGGAAGCACCGTGGATTGTGCCTTTTCAGAGGAATCCGCAATTTGTTGGTCGGACTTCAGAAATCGCCCAGGTCGATGTCATGCTTTCTAGCGAAACTCGCTGCGACCGAGTCGCAATTATTGGGCTCGGAGGCATTAGGAAGACCCAAATCGCGCTCGAATTTGCCTATCAGCTGCGAGAGAGACAGCCGGACTGCTCGGTGTTCTGGATACCGGTAACGAATGTCGAGAGCATGCTAGAAGCGTACCTAAAGATTGGCCAGCAGCTCCAAATCCCTAATCTCGAGAGGCAGGATGCAGACGTGCAAAAGCTCGTCCAACGTCAGTTAAGTCGAGAAAGCTCTGGCAGATGGTTGTTGGTGTTCGACAACGCGGACGACATAGACATGTGGACGGGCAGAGCAGAGAACACAATGGGCTCAGGCCGTCGAATCGATTATCTGCCAAAGAGCAAGCACGGATCTATTCTGTTCACGACGCGAAGTCGGAAGGCGGCGACGAAGCTAGCCGGCAAGAACGTGGTCTCGGTTAGCGAAATGAACGAAACTATGGGGAAGAACTTGCTAAAGAACTCTTTGGCCGATCAGGCCCTGTTGGCTGATAATGGAGCCGCAGCAGATTTGCTCCAAAAACTCACCCATCTCCCTCTTGCAGTTGTCCAAGCGGCTGCATATATCAATGAGAACCAAATAACGCTTTCAGAGTACACAGCGCTTCTTAAGAATACAGAGCAGAATATTATCGATCTCCTTAGCGAAGAGTTTGAGGACGAAGGGCGATATGAGGATACCAAAAACCCGGTTGCAACGACCTGGCTCATTTCATTCGAGCAGATCCGGACTTGCGACCCGTTAGCAGCAGAGTATTTGTCATTCATGTCCTGCGTTGACTCCAAGGATATTCCACAGTCACTTCTTCCGCCAGCAAAGTCAGCGAAAAAGGCTATTGAGGCTTTAGGGACGCTAAGTGCCTACTCATTTATTACTAAACACAAGACGGATAAATTATTGGATCTTCACCGGCTTGTACATCTCGCAACCAGGAACTGGCTACGGACGGAAGGCTGTCTCGAAGAGTGGGCAGCTAAGGCTCTGGAACGACTAGAGAATGTGTTTCCAGACAGCGAACACACAAATAGAAGCGTGTGGAGGATGTACTTGCCACATGCACGATACGCTCTAGAGTCGGAATTAGAAGGTGTAGGAAATGGGAAGACAGAATTGGTTTAGAAATTTGGGACTTGCGCCTACAGCGACGGGAGATATAGGGAGGCGGAAAAGGTTTTCGCGCAAGTGACGCAAACTCGAAAGAGGAAGCTGGGCGCGGAGCATCCTTCCACGCTGACTAGCATGGCCAATTTGGCGTCGACGTTTTGGAATCAAGGGCGATGGAAGGAGGCCGAAGAGCTAGAGGTGCAAGTAATGGAGACGAGAAAGAGGGTGCTGGGCGCGGAGCATCCAGACACGC